AGAATTTATGCGCTTGTGTGCCTGATGCTTCCCTGCCTATCTGTCCCCGATGCAAATTTAACAAGATTTCTGATTTTCGACCTCTACACACAGACATACACCCACACACGCACAAATGTGTATGAATAAGCAGATCATGGGCGCAAAAGAAAATTTCATTATTGGCACGCGTCTGACGCGCGCCCTTTTTTATGCTTTTGGGTTTGAATTGATGAATGATAAATATATAATGCCATTATGATGAATGTATTATATATATATATATATAAATATAATATTTATATATATAATCGATCCTTTGTTTTTGGTATGTTTAAAGCTTTTAATTTTTGAACTACATTTCGCTGGCCTTTAAATCTTGTACAAACATAAGTGATCTGTCACTTGACCTATGTACATATGCAGGTGCAGGTGCTTGCCAAAAGTTGACACTTTCGGCCTAGCCGGCTGCTGCAGGTAATAAGGGGTCAGCATTCATTCATCAACCGGACCTGCGCAGTATTTCACATGGCTGCCGATAAGTTAAGGTTTTGAGTTCGTGTGAAAGAAACTTATGTATACCCAGAATGTATATGTTTCAATATACCCCTACTTTTGGGCAAACTACTTTCTATATAGGACTACTATATCAAATGCTGGGAGAATAGAAAAACTCTTAATTGCCAAGTAAGAAATATTTTCCTTTAAACACTCATTGATCGAAGGGTTCCTCCCAGAGTTCTATCTCTATATATAAAACTGTTCTGACTAAATGACTAATTGTTCATTAATGCACAGCCCAAGCCGTAAGTGGAAAAAGTATGGGACTCTTGTCGGGAGCTCCCGAGTAGGGAATACCCTGAACCCTCTTCTACCCACACCAAATTCAGCTCGTGCTACGCGCTAATTTGCTTCAGCAGTAATAAAAATAATAAAAAAAAAAAAGAAGATATTTGCAACTGCCCCTAATCAACAGTCACTCCAACAATTGAGTCTTACTGAGAAAAAAGCTGATATGAATAGCAGCACAGAAAACAATACAATCGCAATTGCAATGCTGTTTATAGAATTCAAAGAAGACGCGCATGAATGTGTGTCTAAAGAAATTCTTGCAATTTGCGCTGTCTACTGCTAACACGTGCGCAGCCAAAACACAAATCATTTCTACAGTACTTCCTAATGTGCTATGGAATAATTGTATATTCTCAAAAAGACACTTGCATTAAAATTGTTGGTTTACATTTGGGAAATATAAATTGGTTTATTAAGTTGATTTATGGCTAATTGGTGGTAGCTGGGATGGGACGATAGCTATTAAATGAAAGATGCTTGAATATTTATACTAATCTAGAAGCTACATGTCAAGTTTAGTTCTCTAGCTCTTATTTAATTGATTTGAGCGGAAAATCCATCCAAATAGGGATCAAGGATTTGATGGGTTTCTAGTTGATATTCAATTAGGAATCTTATTGAAACTTCATTCACATGATGCAAAATCCTAGCTTTATCGGTGGGAAATGCGTATCAAAGATGTGTTGACGAAAGTTTTAAGTTCGATCCGATTTGCTTCTTTTTTTTAAAGCCCTACTTAAGAACTTAATGAATACGTGTTTACTTGATTTTGAAAAAACGGAAACGGTTACAATCCGAACGGCTTTTCAAAGTTCTTTGGGTAAATTAATTCAGTTTGCGCAAGATTTGGGAGTTTTTGATCTTAATTACGGGTCAAGATTTCAATGAGAGAAGTTTCGAATGTAAGGTCGTTTGCAAAGTTGTTCAAGAAAATGAATTTCCAAAACCAGAAATTTGGCGGAAATGTTCATCTTTTTTTAATATCATCGCATCTGCTTCATACTTATTTTCAAAGATCCTTGTAAAATGGATTGAAAGTGCAGGTCAAAGGGTTAATTAACATTTTCAAATAGAAATGAAATGAAATGACAATGTAATATCTAAAATTTGTAGCCCAAAAATTTCCATGGGCAATGTCGGGCAAAACCCGAAGGTATATATATTTATTTATATTTATATTTATATTTTTTTTTTTATATGTAGGAGGGTAGGAGGTATTAGTTGTGGGCTTCTTTTAATCTTTTTTAAGTTATTTTATTTATTTTTTCGATGATATAAATAAGTAATACTGTAGTAATAATTAGCATGTAAGATTCTACTGTGATATAGCATTAGGTGTCCCACTGTAAATATAACTGTAATCACATCGAAGGCTTCGCTTAGAGAGCGAAACATTCGATGCTCTTACTCTCGCTCTGACACGAGCATAAGAAGAACAAGAACGATTGCGAAATAAAATGATCTGCGAAGGCATTCAAAAAAGTGACGAGCACAAGAACGGTTGCAATTTATATGCGTCAGTCCGTTCCTACAAATTCAGAAGTGGTCACGGAATTAAACCTACAAAATTATTCAAATTCTATCAATTCAAACTTATCAATATTGGTTATTTAATAACTTGATTATGGAATTGCGTGTGAACATTGGCAATCTAAGCCTATCCGACCTAAAAATGTGGTGCAAAAATTGGATTTGCCAATTAGAGGCACCAAAGCTACTTTATTAGCTCAACTGAATGCTGCATTACCGTCAGCAAGTGCTTCAAACCTCCAATTGGACATGCTAGACTCCAACGAAGAGCTGATCGATTTAACACCAAGCACCAGAAAAAACAACAACGGTTCTTGCGGCGCTCAGACAGCCAACAACAATAACAGCTCTGGTGACGAAAAGGCGGCCAGCCATAACTGCTCTTCCATTTCGGCAGAAAATGGCGGCAATGATGTCGAAAACAGCGGCATAGCAAATGAGGAAAACGATGACGTACCGGTCTGCGATCTTGGTGGCAACGCTCAACACAACATTGAAGTTGCCAATGCTGATCCGAACGCTGATGCTGGCAACGCTCCACATAACATCGAAGTTGCCAATGCTGAGCCAAACATTGATAGGGCAGCACTGTGAATGAAAACGTGAACAATGCACCTAACAGCAGTGTTTTCCAACAAAATTATGAAGACATGCTGTGAAAGAGTTTGTACCAGAATATAATGGTGAAAACAACATCAATGAATGGTTGGTGTTGGTAAAAAATATTCGAGATGTGTTCAAAGTGTGTGATGACGTCATGCGTACACTGTTATGTGCTCGCCTCAAGGGCAAAGCAAACATTTGGCTGCTGTCTCGTCCAACACTTCTCTCATGTAACATCGATAATATTTTAATGCAGTTAACGATCATCTTTGGCACCAAAGAGAACGTCCTTGAAATTCGCCGCAGGTTTGAAAACCGAAAGTGGTAACCTGATGAAAAATTTGCAGTGTATTATTTTGATAAAATGACCCTGGCAAACGAGCTGAAAATGGGAATTTTCATTGATTGATGGAATATCCGGTATGCCGCTAAAAAATCAGACTAAATTACAACGCTTTGCTGCGCCGTCTGAAGTTCTAGATGCTTTTCAAGACATTGATCAGCCGAGGGCTCAACTTGGCAAGCCCCAAATAAAAAACATGCTGTTCAACGCGTGGAACCCCGGAACAGAAGGTCAACAAGTGCTTCAATTGTCACAGCTTTGCACATCTGGCCGCAGACTGTCGCAAGCCAAAACGAGCTGAAGGAACATGCTTTGCTTGTGGCAAACTCGTGTTGTGAACGATGAATCTACAAGGTATTCAATGGTATTAGGTAGAGATTTTTTATTTCTAAGTAATTTTAAAATAATTGAAGTCGAAGAAGTTATGAGCAAAAACGTTGCACAAAGAAAACATAAAAAAAAAATACAAAAAATGAATATGTGATTAATAAAAAAGTAGAGAACAAAGTAGTGGAAAAAGAAGAGAACAAAGTAGTGGAAAAAGTAGAGAGCAAATTAGTGGAAAAAGAAGAAATCAAAGAAGTGGAAAAAGTAGAGAACAAGGAGGGGAAAAAGTAGAATGCAATACAGTAAAAATAAAAAAGAACGAAATGGATAATAAAGAACAGGGTTACAACGAGCAAGAGGAGAAAGATACGAGAGAGAAAATTTTGAAAAACAAATTTTGGCAATAAACGTAATAGGCACAGACAAAGAAAAGTACAAAGTAGGAAGGGAAATATGTAAAAATAGTTTGGAAAGGTTTTAAAAGATATTCGAAAAATATTATGTAGAACCAGACAGACCTGCGGAGCCTAAAATAAAGAACTCAATGAAAATTACTATAGAATACGAAAAACCGCTTCGCTGTTCCCCAAGAAGGTTATCATATGCAGAAAAGATAGAAGTAAAGAAAATACTAGACGAAAACTTAGCTCGAGGATACATACGACCAAGTGAGTCAGAGTATGTGTCACCAATTATCCTTGTAAACAAGTAAGAGGTTCTAGTCGGGAGCTCCCGACTAGGGGATACCCTAAACCCTCTTCTTCCAACATCAAATGCATATATAAATTCTATTTTAGAAGCTATATGTCAAGTTTTGTGACTCTACCTCTTATTATTTACCAAAATTGCCAAAAAAAGCAGGATATCGATATAGATTTTTATCGATTGCTTGGAAACGGAGTAAGTTATCGATTATCGGAAACAAACTGCGCGGGAGCTAGGAACATCTACATCTCAAATTTCAAGTCTCTAGCTCTTATAGGTTCTGAGATCCTTGCGTTCATACATACGGACGGACGGACGGACGGACAGACAGACGGACATGGCTAGATCGACTCGGCTATTGATGCTGATCAAGAATATATATACTTTATGGGGTCGGAGATGCTTCCTTCTGCCTGTTACATACATTTGGATTTTGCACAAATACAATATACCCTTGTACCCATTTTTAATGGGTTCAGGGTATAAAAAGAAAACAGGAGAGCTCAGGATATGTGTAGACTATCGTTGGTTTAACAAAGTAACGGTGAAAGAAAACTAACCAATTCCACTGATAGTTGATCTACTAGAAAGACTAGCGAATAAAAAATTGTTTTCAAAGTTAGACTTAAAAAATGGTTTTCACCATGTTTTTATGGATAAAGAATCGGTAAAGTACACATCATTCACTACCCCGCTAGGACAATTTGAATACCTTAGAATGCCATTTGGATTAATGAATGCACCGTCAACGTTTCAAAGATATATTAACAAAATATTTGCAGAAATGGTGAGGACAGGAAGAGTGGTGATCTACCTCGATAACATTATGATTGCTACAAAAGATTTAAATGAGCATTTAGAAATTTTTAGAGGTTTTTAAACGTGTTGTAGACAACAAACTCGAACTTACACTCGATAAGTGTGAATTTTTGCTGTCTTCAGTTGATTATTTAGGTTATACTGTCACTGGAAATGGCATAAAGGCTTATGAACCTGGGCTAGAAGTAATTCGATCTTTTCCTATACCTACAAAAGTCCATGAAGTTCAAAGTTTTATCCGCCTATGCTCATACTTTAGGAGGTTTATTCGAGATTTTCCACTGATTGCAAAGCCATTGTATGATCTAACAAAGAAAGATAAAAAGTTTGAGTTTAAAGAAGTAGAACTAGATGCTTTCAATGCACTAAAAAATAAGTTAATAGAAGCACCGATATTAGCAATATATGACCCTAGAGATGAAACGGAATTACACTGCGATGCAAGTTCTCTAGGCTACGGGGCGATTCTGTTACAAAGGAAGAAGGATGGAAAACTCCATCGTTTTCTACTTTTCAAAACGAACAACAAAAGTACAGTCATGATACCATAGCTTTGAATTAGAGACCCTAGCGATCATAAATGCGCTCAAAAGATTTCGAGTTTATTTACAAGGCGTTAAATTTAAGATAGTAACCGACTGCAATTCATTAACACTAACACTAAATAAAAAAGAATTGAATCCACGTATTGCCAGATGGGCCCTTGAACTGCAAAACTACGATTATGATTTCGAGCACAGGTCAGGGAAGAGAATGAAATGCAGAGATATATTAAGTCGCACCAACAATATCCAAATAATTGAAACTAACACGTTCGAAGAAAATCTTATAGTATGCCAAGGAAAAGATGAAAAAATAAAAAAGCTCAAAGAAATGCTTACAGAAAAAGAAAGTGAACACTATGAAATGCGCCATGGTGTATATATAACAAGTAAGAGGTTCTAGTCGGGAGCTCCCGCTAGGGAAACCCTATATCAAATGCATATATATATTTAATTTTAGAAGCTATATGTCAAGTTTGGTGACTCTAGCTCTTATTATTTACCAAAATTGCTCAAAAAACAGGATATCGATATCGATTGCTTGGAAACGGAACAAGTTATCGATTATCGGAAACAAACTCGTTCTCCGCGGGAACTAGGAGCATCTTCATCTAAAATTTCAAGTGTCTAGCTCGTATAGGTTCTGAGATCCTTGCGTTCATACATACGGACGGACGGACGGACAGACAGACGGACATGATGAATTCATCGAGGAAAATAACATTTACCATACAAAAATAGCTACCGCCTCACCAAAAGCCAATGGACAAGTGGAAAGAGTGAACAGAGATCTAGGCCCAATGATGGCAAAACTAATAAATGTAGAGAATAGTGAACGATGGCGTAAGGTGTTGGACAAAGTAGAACACTTGATGAATAAACGAAGAACCGAAGCATCAATGAATACCCCAGCGTTATGTTATTTGGAGTCAAACAGAGAGGAACTAACATAGATAGCTTAAGCGAAAATGTTATAGAAGAAAATCAAGAAACAGCAATAAGAAACTTAAGAGAAATAAGAAAGAAAGCAGAAGTCAACAAACAAAAGACACAAGACTACAATAAAAGTTATATAGATTCAAAACGTCAGAATCCCAAAATATTCTCAAAAGGAGATTATGTAGTTGTTCGAAACTTTAATTCACAACCTGGAGTATCAAGCAAACTGATTCCTAAATTCAAAGGACCATATGTAGTGTCAAGGGTGTTAGATAATGATAGATACTTTATAGAAGACGTAGAAGTGTTCAACAAACACAAACACCATATTCAGAAATTTGGGCAGTACACAATATGAAACCTTGGCTCAACGGTAGAAAAAATACTGTAAACAACAACACACAAGGAGAAAACAGTTCAGATAGTGATACTGAAGAAATAAATTTAGAAAACAATAATGCAAATAATGTATGTAATGAAAATGACAAAACTAAAAATGAAACCAAGCAAAACTATACCGAAAATAAATTAAGAAAAGAAAATTGTCTAAGTAAATATGGCCAAACTAATATTGTAACTAGAAGTATGTCAACGAGTATCAGGAGATACTCAACGTCAGATCGGCCGAATTGTAGTAATAATTAGCATGTAGGATTCTACTGTGATATAGCATTAAGTATCCCACTGTAAATATAACTGTAGTCACATCGAAGGATTAGCTCTGAGAGCGAAACATTCGATGCTCTTACTCTTGCTCTGACACGAGCATAAAAAAAACGAGAACGATGGTAAAATAAAATGATCTGCGAAGTCATTCAAAAAAGTGACGCGCACATGAACGGTTGCATTTTATTTGCGTCAGGCCATTCCTACAATACTGAAAAATGAATTTATGGAAATGCGTAAAAAAGGTTTTTATTTTAATAATAGGAATATGTATGTACTTACGTACATACATACAAACACCTATTGCCAATAGCTGCGCAATAACAATCAAAACAAACGTCCGTACAATCGTAAAAAATATTCAATCGTCATAACTAAATACGATGGCAACTACATATACTTATATGTATGTATGTACATACTTATGTATATACAAATTGGTACTGTGTCCGTAGTTGTATATGTATCTAATTCAATCATATGTATGTATGTATTTATGTATATTTATATAGCCAGCAAGGATTTTACATCTACTCACAAAGTACATCATTCGCAAGCAATTGTATGAATTTATTTGGTCCTTTGGAATTCCAATGTTTAAAAATTCATGTTTCATATGTATACGTATATACATATACATATGGTTTTCACATGCCCCTACAGAAGTGCAATGAATATTCATTCATACTGCACGTAATGTATGTCCAATAAGGAATTTCATATGTATGTATATTCATCTATTCACACAATAATACAAAAAATTTGGGTGCACACACAATATATGAATATAATTATGAAAATTTAACTACTCTCTTCAGTTAAAACTTAACACACACATACTATTTACAGATAAAGCTAATTTTTGTCTCAAAATTCTTACTATATAAAATTGATTTGTTCAATTTTTTATTTGTAGAAAATTAAACCACATAACAATATGCGCGGAAGAATCTAAACAAAGACTGAAAGGAATCGTGTTGTTTAGTTAAGCTTTACGTAAAAGTTAAATTAAAGGTAGCTTTTAAAGCTTTAATTCCTCAAAAGCGGACTGCGAGCAGCTGCGACTCACTGGCTGAACTAAAATCTTTAAACATTTATGTGTACCTTCAAAGATGCATTACCTTTCACACATATACATATGAATACACATACTTATACACAACACATATTTATAGGTACATATGTATCATATAATGAGATTAGTATGTACAAATCCATACATTACAAAATTTTATATGAACTTGTGTGTGAATAAATATGTTTTGATAAGATATATATCTATGTATTTATATTTATGTAATGGTGCGCGCACAATTTAAACTCCATGTAAGCATACATATATGAATATATGTATGTATATGCATCCATATGTAGCCGTGCATAAATGTACGAAATAGAATCGAGTGCAGTATTTATCGACAAGTCATTTTTATAACTTTTTAATGGATATATATTAAAATCGATGCATGACCAACTAATTCCAAATATCTTTGTGTTAGTTTAATGATCTTTTATTTATTTAATTTCTCATTTAAATCGCATGTAGTATCGACATCCAATCAAGAATTGGCAAGATATTACCATCAAAAGCGTATGTGGCTATCGATTAATAGTTCTTATTCGATAATAAAATACATTGAAATTAAAGCGCTTGTCATTAAAACTACAATTATATTATTTAAGAACACTATGTGACTCATTTTTTCTTTCTAATGCTGAACATCAATTTTCCTTTGCATTATTGTTGTGGGTTGAACATTGTTTTTGGCTTGTTGCCATTACTTAAACTAACCATACAATGCATAGATATACCAAACTGCATTTTAATCGTATCACGATTCAACGCAACGAGTGAGCCCCATGGGTGTCTGATACCATTTTAGTGTGTCCAGATAGAGTAAGACTACTGAGAGTGGCAGCCGAACGCCGGCCCCGAAAGCCTAACATTCAGTATGAAGCTGCGGCTCCTTACAGTCCAAAAACATATATGTGTATGCATGTGCCTCGCTCTCTCTCTTTGCTTTGTGCACTTGTGCGCATCTCTTTCTCCCTGCATAGCTTCCCACAAAAGCCCGAGATCTACAAATATACATATGTTTTTGATGTATGGATGTGCGCAGGAGTCGATCACGGTGTTTGTCGCGAGCCAGAGGCTTTTCAGTTGTGTGCCTTTTGTGCCTGTGGTAGCAAAAGGCACACACATTCAAATACTTTATCATAAATTTTTTCGTCCAGTCAGGGATAATGAGAAGAATCTTATCTCTATTTATTAAATAAATAATTAATTGACCTGAATGAAATATTTTTTTTGCTTAATATTTTGCTTAATATGCAAAAATGTCTAAATATTTCGTATTGCTGCCAGGGTAATTCATCGACCATATATTTATAATGTTTAATTTTTGCGACTTGCTGCTTGTGCATACGCACACTCTTTCGAGTAAACAGTTGTGTGATATTATTAAAGGGTTTGGCCTGTACATGTGCAAAATTGATATTTACCATGCTTGTTGTAAGGGTAAGGGTACACATTTGTGCGTGTGTGTGTATATGTGTGTGTATTGAGCTCGAAATTCAGAAATGCCAAAACTTCAAATTTTGTCAAATTTGCATCGGGCAGGAAGGCATTCAGGCAACCAAAATGCACACAAACGCATAAATTCCATCCATATAGAAAAGTGTGTAAGTGTGCGTGGTTGGCCACATGCACACATGCCAACGTTCAGGTACCCTTACCCTTACAACAAGCATGGAAAATATCAATTTGGTACATGTACAGGCCAAACCTTTTACTAATATCACACAACTGTTTACTCGAAAGAGTGTCTTTTCTTAAAATTCTTCGACAAGCCGTCGATGAATGACCCTGGCAGAAATACTACATTGATATTTTTGTATTTTAAGCAAAATAGGTCCCTACAGTAAACAGAAAATAAATATAAATGTTTCATTCAGGTCAATTAATTGTTTATTTAATAAATATAGATCAGAATGTGTGTGCCTTTTGCTACCACAGGCACAAGAGGCACACAATTGAAAAACTTCTGGCTCGCGTCAAACGCCGTAATCGACTTGAGCGCACATACACACAACACATACATATATATATGTATTTGTAGATCTCGGGGTTTTGTGAGAAGCTATGCAGGGAGAAAGAGATGTTCTAGTCGGGAGCTCCCGACTAGGGAATACCCTGAACCCTCTTATTCCAACACCACATAAATTAAAAAAAAATAGTTCCCTTGGCAGGGTTCGATTCGTAACTGACCGCATTACTTGCTGTCGATTCTACTCCACAGCCACACCAGCAAAAAAAAAGGAAGCAAAATACTTCCCCCGGTAGGTCTCGAACTCGCGACAGACCGCACCACTTGCTATGCCTCTACTCCGCAGCCACACCAATATTTAAGTACTTTTGATAAAAAAAAGGAACTAAAAGGCATTACCAATTACCATGCTGTTAGAATGCGAAGCAGACGCGCTTGAATGTGTGTGTGTACATGTATACAGAAATTCTTAAAGCTGGTACCCATCCAATTGCGTAGTTACATACAACATTGTCTTTTTCTTAACCGATCTTTATGAAATTTTCTACAGTATATCTTATTGTACCATAGCATATTTGTGTATTCTGAAAAAGTCAATTTGCATTTAAATTGTGGTTTTAATTGGTTGGCAATAAAAGTTGGGTTATTAACTTGATTTATAAATCGGCCATTTAGTTCACTCGTTCAGCTATTCAGTCGGTTATAAATGATTAATTCTGCTCATCTATTCAGTCGGTTACGAACTATTCGCTTAGTCCAGTTATGCAGTCAAATCAAAAGTGAAATTAAATGACCGATTTAGTTCACTAATCACCGAATAAGTTCAGTAGTTCATTTTAATGACCCGTTCAATCGAACTTGGTCTGAACTAAACGACACAACTGTAGCTCTATTGTGGTAGCGGGGTGGAGGGTATAGGATCGATAAAATCGATATCAACATCCTGTTTTTTGAGCAAATTGGGTAAATAATATGAGCTAGCGTCACCAAACATTATATGTTGCTTCTAGAATATTATGTATATGTCAAGTATATTTCATTTTATACCTTTACAATATACCTATATAACATATAATGTTTGGTGGCGCAAGCTCTTATTATACCCTGAACCCATTTGGGTACAAGGGTATATTGTATTTGTGCGAAAGCCAAATGTATGTAACAGGCAGAAGGAAGCATCTCCGACCCCATAAAGTGTATATATTCTTGATCAGCATCAATAGCCGAGTCGATCTAGCCATGTCCGTCCGTCCGTCCGTCTGTCCGTCGGTCCGTCCGTCTGTCCGTCCGTCCGTCTGTCTGTCCGTCCGTCCGTCCGTATGTATGAACGCAAGGATCTCAGAACCTATAAGAGCTAGATACTGAAATTTTAGATGTAGATGCTCCGTTCCCGCGCAGATCGAATTTGTTTCCGATAATCGATAACTTACTCCGTTTCCAATTAATCGATAAAAATCTATATCGATATTATGTTTTTGGGGAACTTTTGGTAAATAATAATAGCTAGAGTCACCAAACTTCTAAAATAGAATATATATATGCATTTGATTTTGGAAGAAGAGGATTCAGGGTATCCGCTAGTCGGGAGCTCCCGACTAGAACCTCTTACTTATTATTTACCCAATTTGCTCAAAAAACAGGATGTTGATATCGATTTTATCGACTGCTTGAAAACGGAGTAAGTTATCGATTATCGGAAACAAACTCGATCTGCGCAGGCACTAGGAGCACCTACATCTAAAATTTCAGTATCTAGCTCTTATAGGTTCTGAGAACCTTGCGTTTATGCATACGGACTGACGGACAGACGGACATGGGTAGATCGACTCGGCTATTGATGCTGATCAAAAATATATATACTTTATGGGGTCGGAGATGCTTCATTCTGCCTGTTACATACATTTGCATTTTGCACAAATACAATATACCCTTTTTACCCATTTTCAATGAGTTCAGGGTATAAAAATCATCAGCCGCTGAACTGAACGTTCGGCTTTTGAGACCGGCGTTCAGCTGCCACTTTCAGCAGTCTTACTCTATGTGGGCACACTAAAATGGTTTCAGACACTCATGGGGCTCACTCGTTAGATAAAATTGATACGATTAAAATGCAGTTTGGCATATCTGTACATTGTATGGTTAGTGCTTCAACCTTAAGCTCCATACTGTCGTGAGTTAGAGGGCCGAAGATAAAAATTTTGCGGTAAAACTACCTATGTCATTTCAACAGAATAAAACCCCTGCATCGCTCTGCTTGTATTTGTTACGTATACACTGACTCTATTAACATCGGGAACAACATGGCAAATTCAAATTGAAGCTTCGTTTGGCATGCGGCATGATGTTTTAATCGCATCTCTTATTATAAGAGACTGCAAGGGCGACTTGCACTGGAGATAAGACGTGGTGTAACATTTGAAGTTACTGCGCATTAACGAAGATCCAGTACAAGAAGGTCTCCACCCCAGGTAAAGAGTTTCTATGTTTAGGCAACAAGCTTAAAATATAATACATCAACTTTAAGCTGAATAGGATGAAGCAAAGGCCACCCAAAAGAAGCCCACACCTTAACGGTGGAGAGGACATAAATAACACCATTAATAAAAAGTAAAATAGTGAGCAATGTATCATAGCTAAAAGTTCCTGTGGATGTGGAAACAAGGTTACACCCTGCCGGTTCTGATATTGATGAAGAGGATCGCTACACAGGTGGACATGAGCACAGTTACGGATCCGGTTCAATTATGCATTGCTGGCGGAGGCAGTACATCTAACTAGTCGCAATCTTTTATGTGTGCTTTAAGTGGAAGTTTGAGTAAAACTGCAGCTTTGAGGAGGATTAGGAACAGTAGCAAGTTACCGGAGCCAGGAGGTGATCGAGTAATGGATACTGGGCGGATCCGCATC